TAATGTTGTTGTTTTAGTTGCCACACCAAAATCAGCCAGTTTTACTAAACCTTCTTTTGTGGTTTTTTTTTTTATTTAATTTTTAATTTTATTTTCTTTTTATTAATTTATTAATAGACTGAAATAGATTTATTAAAAAATCTAAATGTAAGTATAATATATTTAAATTTTTAATTATTATTTAATCAATGATTGATAGATTGATCAATAATAATCAATGTCACGAATTTATTTATTTATTTTTTTAGCATCCAAACATTGTAAAATATAAAGGATTTGTTAAAACAAGGGAGTTTCTATTTATAATTTTAGAGTAAGTTTAATCATTTTGTTATTGGTGGTGTAAATATTATATATAACCTTGCTTTAGTCAAGTTTAACTTATTTCTCCCATTTTTCATTTTAAATCTTTTATCTTTTATCTTACAATATATTAATCCTGCATTTATTTAATTGATCCTTCATATCCAGGTACTGTGAAAATGGCTCATTACACAATATTTGTAAAAAATTTGGTAAATTTCCTGAAAACCTTGTAGCAGTATATATAAGCCAAGTGCTAGAAGGATTATTATACCTACATGAACAAGGTGTAATACATCGTGATATCAAGGGTGCAAACATATTAACCACAAAAGAAGGTTTAGTAAAACTGGCTGATTTTGGTGTGGCAACTAAAACAACAACATTAGGCGATTTTGGTGTTGTTGGCTCTCCGTATTGGATGGCTCCAGAAATTATTGAATTATCAGGTGCAACCACATCATCGGATATTTGGAGCGTGGGATGTGTCGTGATTGAACTGTTGGAAGGCAAACCACCATATCATCATCTTGATCCGATGCCTGCACTTTTTCGAATAGTGCAAGATGAACATCCTCCATTGCCCGAGAGTGCATCTCCGGCTGTAAAAGATTTTTTAATGCAGTGTTTCCATAAAGATAGTAATTTACGTGTTTCGGCAAGAAAATTGTTAAAACATCCTTGGATAGCAAACACTAGGAAAAATAATGTAGTTATTATTAGCACTATTTCTAATAACACTGGTGGCAATAGTAGTAATATTAATGCTAGTGGTGGTAGTAGTAGTAGTAATAATAATAATGATAGTAATAGTGGTGGTGGTGGTGGTGGCGGCGATGTAAATCGAAATGATGATGCTAATTCTAATATTAACAATAAGGAAAATATCAACGATAATAATAACATTATCAACAACAATATCAATAATAACAAGAACAACAACAACAATGATAACAACAACAATGACAATGTACCGCGTCCTGTAATATCAACAGAATACGAAGAAACAATAAAAAGTGTACAAGAGTGGAACAAAGCATTAAAAGCTTCAAAATCTAATATTAAATTACCACCAGCTTTTAATAGGCGAAGGAAAAGTGAACAAATTAAGTTACAATTGTTATCATTACCATCACCGTTATCGCCAAAATCAGAACTTCCTCAAAGATCTTCCACTGATCCGTCATCATCATCATCAACAAATTTTGCACCATCACCATCACCCTTACAATCTCCATCGACATCTTCACCAGTATCACCACTATCTGCTAGCGATAATGCTAATAGAAAGAAATCAATTGATCAAGTATCAATAGTTGATAATAATTGGGACAATTTTGTTGATTTAGGTTCAAAAAATTTAACGGTAGTTAGTACAAACAATGCACAAAATAATAGATTATCAATGGTCGATTTGCAACCTGATAGCGAAGATGATAATTGGGATGATGATTTCGATGACTCGATAACTATCACAAAAATCGCTGCTCATCAAAATAAACAATTAAATAATAAAAAAGCCAAAAAAAATAATAATATTGGTGGCGATGATGATACCAAAATGTCAAGTCCTAAAAAACATTCGAAAGGTAAAGAACCTATGGAATCATCTCAAATCAATGGTGAAACTAATATTAATAATACAAATGGTCTTGTTGACAATGCTATCAATAATAATAATAAAAACAAGAATCTTGGAATTTTAAAAACACTTTTTAAATCTCAAGAAAAACAAAATACCAATAACAATAATTCTAAAACACCTACAACTGCAGCAACAACAGTAACTAATAATGATAGCTCTAGTTGGGAGCATATCCAAGATACTGTTATACATTTATCACAACAAAATACATTAACTAAAAAAATCAAAAAAATTACTTCAAAAGGCTCATTAAAATCATCTGCATCATTTGAACCACCGTCACCATCACCATCACCATCACTGACTTCGTCACCATTATTACAACAACAAAAAAGATCTAAACCATTACAAATAATAAGACCCACATCATTATCAGCACAGCAACAACAGAAACAACCAATAAAACCAATCTATTCAACTTCTTTAACAGAAAATCACATCACAATCTTTTCATCATCCCCAAACAATACCACCAATGCAAGACCTAAATCTCCTTATCCTCCAAATCTATTTAAACAACATCGTCGTAGGGTCAGTGATTTAGAAGCCAACAAACGACCATTTTCTTATATCAATGGTCTACAAAATTCTACATCATTATCATCTGCATCGTCATTACCAGATGATAAACCCTTACCACCATTACCACGCTATAGTAAATCTCCTAATTCTGCTGGCTTAGGATTGTTTGATTTGTCATCCACACAATCATCAGATCATAAAAATCAGTCACCGTCATCATCATCATTTACAAAAGAAATAACGAAACAGTCGAAATCGTCACATAGATCATTATCAAGCCGGGTTTCAGCTCCTGTCCTACCAAGCATTGAGATACCTGATTCTTATTATGATAAAGTTCTGTCTACAAGTGCAACAAGTAATATGAGTAACGCATCACCAATCTCGCCACTTCGTGATACACCAAGTCCAAATGAATTCCAAATTTATCAAGATGATGATGATGACGATGATTATGATAATGTATTTCGTGATGAGGAAAATGATGGCACGATTTGTGTTGCTAGTTCTAGCAGTGCTGTTGTCAATAGTGCAGCTGGTGGTGATAAACAATCATTAATGATTAAATCAAGACCTACTAACAATAGTTGGCTCGCCGAGGATATAAGTGACGAAGATGATCCATTTGCAGAGATTGAGGAGAAATTTGACGAGATGGACATGGAAGCTTATATAGCTAGAGACAAATATGCTCATGCGTGTTCAAGGCTAGAAGAACTTATTAACGCGCTACTGCCTAATGAGAGCGAAGAGAGATTATTGATCACATGTGGTTTATTGATTGATCTTTTGCACGAACATAAACAACTTAAAAGTCATTTCATCATTTTTCATGGCGTGATACCGATCATTGAAATATTGGAAATATGTGTCTACTCAAGTGTATTGACCAAGCTACTGAGAATAATTAACATCATCATCGAGGATAATATTAACCTGCAAGAAAATTTATGTCTGGTGGGTGGTATACCTGTGATAATGAATTTCACCTTGAAACGATACTCATATGATATCAGATTGGAGGCCGCAACTTTTATAAAACACATATGTCACACCTCACCCATTGTACTGCAAATGTTTGTTTCGTGTAGAGGATTGAAAGTTTTGGTGGAATTTCTACAAGAGGATTACAATGACCGCAAGGAATTGGTTTGGATAGCTGTTAATGGAATCTGCAGCGTTTTTGAACTTCAGAGTCCAACTCCAAAAAATGATTTTTGTCGTCTATTGGCAAAAAATGGATTGTTAGATCCGTTGGCAAACACGCTTCACGATGTTATAAAGGACGAAGATGAAAAGGCCTTCATTTATATTAACAAGATAATCAATATATTTTTACAATTCTCACAAGCTGACACCTATGTAACTGAAGTGATGGCAACCAAAACTAAGGTGATATCAAGAATTTTTGAAGAGTTGGATGAATTGCCAGCAAACATGGTTGTCTCGTTGCTTAAATGTATAAAAAATATGTCAATGAACTCTAACACTCTGGATGCATTACAAAAAGCAGGAGCTATTCAAGTATTGACCGCAGTGTTGGATAAACAAAGTCCACCATACATCACCGAAATCTCGAATCAAGTTCTCAACACAATGTTTAATCTATGTCGTATAAACAAGTCAAGACAAGAGGAAGCGGCGAAAGCCGGGGTCATACCACATTTGCAATATTTCGCGTCTAATAAAACGCCACTAAAGCAATTTTCTTTGCCTATATTATGTGATATGGTACACACAGGCGAATTGTGTCGTGATTTGTTGTGGAAACATGATGGCTTGCAGTTCTATTTAGAATTATTGATTGATCCCTATTGGCAAGTAAATGCTTTGGAAGCAATACTTGCTTGGCTACAAGAGGAAACACAAAAAGTTGAACCAATTCTATTGCAACCCAAAAATGTTGGGCACATGCTCGAAGCATTTGTTACAGCAAAAGCAAACTCTTTTGAAAACGTTCTTGAACCATTACACATGATAGCCCAGAAATCGCCATCATTGTCATGTGAAATGGCTCAGCCTAAATTTTTCAAACGCCTATTACAACGTTTGTCACATCCAAAAGCTGTTGTCAGGCTCAACTTGTTACGTATATTAAAAACCGTTTGTGATTCGCATCCACAACGTGAAGATGTTATAGCCAAATATGAATTGTTTGACGTTATTGATAAAATGAGCAAGAATGACCAGGCGGTTTTGATCAGAGAGTTGGCCAAAGATATACTTATGCAGGGTTATTTTATTCCAAAGCATCAGGAACCTATTACACCTACTTCATCACAATTTCCAAACAACAACAGTAACAATAACGACAACAACAACAATAAGAATAATGATATTAAAAAAGATATTAAAAAAGATAGTAGTATTAAAGATCCTTTTAGTCTTGGTATATCATTATCGTCATTGCCTGTTAGCAATCCGCCAGCAACATCTTTATCGAAAGACGTTATATCTGAGGAGGAAGAATATGCTACTAGTTTTTATACCAATAGTCATGTACCGTTTACATCATTCAAAGATAATTTGGTTAACAATTCTGCTTTGCCTGTTGAAGGGTACGGCGTGAATCTGAGTTGACTATCAGCGGTTCAAGTTGAAGATAAAAGTCCTTCACAAAACATTAAAAATAATAACAATAATACTAATGAAGAAAATGACAATGCTACTGATAATAACAAAAATAACAACGAAAATCAATCAACATTAAAAAATTTACCTCAACAAAGAAATCAAACTCAAATACAACAAATACAAATAAAAAGACGTAAACGTGCTTTATCATCGCCAATCACATCTCATTTATCGACAATATCAGAACAAGAAACAGTAAAACCTAAAAGACCTTTATCGACTCCATTTGAATTATCATTGGATCAAGTGATTGAACAAGGAGGAGACAAGTATTCACCGCCGTCATCATCACCATTAACAACGTCACCACCAATGTCTATATATAATTATTATTATAAACAACAACCATCATCTTCATCGTCATCATCATTAAAAAACGCTTCAAGGAAAACTTCTTCGACTTCTATTTCCTCAACTCCAATAATACCTAATAGTAATTATAGACAACAACAGCAACAATTGCCTTCTCAAAAGAAAAGACCAGTTTCTTTTGTTTCACATCCACCAAATGGCAATGATTCAATTAAACTTCCTCGTTCAATCTCATTAAAAAATCGTAAAAATTCTCATCAACAAAAAATTTTATCATCAGCATCATCTACACATTCGTCGATTAACAACAACGAACAACATTTATCAACAATAAGATCAAGTGTATCAGCTACTTCTACCGACACAAATACTTCTACCAACTATTACAACTACAATAATGATTCAGGAGCCGTCTCACTTTTCCCATATGATCATATTCGTAAAAGAGAAAGTTCACGAAAAATTAAAGGTATAGCTTATAACAGATCATATAATAGACAAGCTATGAATGAAGAGGAGGAAACAGAATCTGTAGCACCATCAATTAATTCAATTGGTTCAACAAATATTGAAACAGAAGGTGGCGTTATAGCAATGAAATTTGGAACAAATTCTTCTAGTGCTACTACTGCTACTAATGCAAGTATGAAAGGAACAAAAAATGAACACATGGATCGTCATCATCATTTACAATCTTCAATGTTTGTATGGTTGAAAAAAAGAATGATGGGAGGTGGGAATAGTAAGATTAAGAAAGGTAATCATAACAGTGGTGGTAATAGTAATATTGGTGGCAGTAATAATAATCGAAATGATGATATTGGTCGCAATAACGAGAATAGTACTAATCAGAGAGAAAATAGGAATTGATGATTGCGTTATAAGTCGATAATTTATATATATATACCACATTGATTGATTTATTTGAACAATTTTCTTCAACTTGAACCATACTTTGAATTATTTTCAATTTTTTAATTTTTTAATTTTATTTAATGAACAATGGTTACCAAAAAGTACATTATTAATTATTAACATTAATAGTATTTTAATAAAACAATTAATAATAGTAATAGCAATAATAATAATAATAGCAGCAATTAGTAATATTAATAATAATTTTAATAAATAATGTAATTTATTGTCTTTTAATCAAATATTTGCATATATGCGAATTATTATTTTGTAAATTTTTTATTCTCTTTTATTTCATTTATGACATATATAATATGTAATATATAATAAAAACTGATTTATATATATGTATGTATGTATATGTATATATGATGATAAATAAAAAAGTTCATCCTTGAAGAATAAAATATATGAGAATGCATAATATTAGTCCCGAACGTCATACACGTCACGGGCGTCAAATTCAGTCATTGTTTTTTATAGCAGCAGTCAATTTATTTTAACATATATGAATAGGAATGAAGATTTTATCGTAAAACTTCATACCTAAGTACACACCTCATTCTACATTGCATTCTGCCCATTACACCAAAGTGAAAGAGAGGTCCCTGAGGTACAGGACAAGGTTGGGTGACGAAAATATTTTGGGGTGCAAAAGGTATTTCGTCAAATGGGCACATGTGACGAAACGTGACGAAAGGGTAAAGTCAAGTGTCAAAATTATGAAGATGACAAAAGTATAAAATTCAATTTTATTTAGATTTAATTAAAACAAAAATTTAATTTTAAACATTTTTTCTACATCGTAAATCATGTTTCTTGGTTGAATATTTAATTTTTGTACGTAAAGTTTAGTAGGAATTGCTGCTTCACATCAATTGCTAGTTTCATAACTTTTTTCAAAATCTGTAGAATCATCCGATAATTCCGATTGTTGAAATGGTTCTTCATTTACTATTTAATGAAGTGTAACTATACATCATACACAGGACATCCTGTAGCCAATTGTTAAACGAACTTTCAGATATTTTAATGTTGCAAATTCATATATTATATGGTGAATTAGAATTTGGCATCAATGAATTTTAATTTTTCATAATTTAAAATCTACAAAATAATTGGTTTATTTTATTGTGTCGTTGATTTCGTCACCCAACCTTGGTACAGGAGTTGGTAAAAGATCATATGTCTTCAATAATGACCCATGGACTTGGGTTAATAATAACAATAGTAAAAGTCGAATTTTTGTCAGTTCCCAAAGAATAGGTAATACTAACAAATGCTTTGGGTCCGAGTATTTTTCCTGCTCTGGCAATTTTTAACTTGTATTTTTATAAATTATAAAATAATTTTCTTATCTTTCCGTATTAATAAATTCCCACTAATTTATCATTTGCACAAAATTTTTTTAAAAATTATTTTAATTTTCAAATCTTAAAAATGACAACGACTGAAACAATTCAACAAGAATTAAATAAAGCAAGAATAGATTATGAGAAGGCAGTGGAGAACTTAGAGGAGTGTGAGAAGGGGAAATGTAAAGGGAAAAATTTGGATAAGTTATAGGAAGTGTTGATGGAGGGGAACTTGAGTGAAGACAAGAGGGAGAGGTGGGAGAATGGAGAGATAGACTGTTGAAAGGAAAGTAATTGTTGGAAGAGTCGAAGAAGAAATGGGAAGAGCAAGTGATATTCTTACAAAAGTAATTAACTAAATTTAATGAAGAAAAAAGGCAATGAACAAATTACAAATTGCTAAAAAAAATATGCGAAAAATTATTTTCCATTCATTCCATTTTGTTTGTTTATTTATTTGGCATATTGTTTATAACATTAACTGACTTGTGCTTTTTTTTCTCTTCATATTATCAAATGTTATTGTTTATTTCAAAGATTTTAAACGGTCGCCCTTTGACTCTGGTCAACAATGCATGAAAAAACGGAGAATTGTGAAAAACTGAAGGTCCAATGAATTATACGGAAAATTTTATTGTCCCGTTTGAGATACTTCATTCCTATCATGAACTTGTAGGAGCTATAGAATCACATGCATATGCACCCTTTGTGAGTCAAGAAAGTCATCGACTTTACATTACCTAGAAAATTAGGATGTTAGCCGTTTAAAAAAATCCTTAGCCGGCTAAACCGTTTACTACCTAAATTGGTATCTTGTTTCTATAACCAGAAGGTAACACGTAAATCCGTTACCAAATCTAGAATTTATGCATGCAGATTATTAACCGGCTAACATCACAAATGAAAATAAAGAAAATCACATCTACATACATTCTTCTTTGACACATGGAACAATCATTTCACAGAATTCATTCATAATCATACACAGAAAAAATATCAGCAGTCAATCATATTACACATGAAAATCAAGATTCAAATAACAATTTAATCAATGATGCAAAAAAACTTTTGGGGTGCTTCTTGCAAGCTGGAACCCTGCAATTTTCTGAAATCACTGAAGAAGAATTGGTTGCTATGACACATCTTTGTGCAATAGGAATCATAAAAGAAAGGAAAAGTCAGTTAGAGTTCACATCCAATATTAGTTTTGATCTGTTATCAAGTAGATATTATCCTTTCTATGTAGGTATTCACTGATTCAATATTTTAGCACACTTCAGGATTTTTTGATGAAAGAAAAAAAAACCTATTTACAACAACAAAAGGTATTTAGTTTATTTGTGATTATAATTATTTTTTTGAATTGAGTTAATAACAATAGTTGTATCAGTAATGATGATAGTAGTAGATATGATAATTATGGAAGTAATAATAACCCAGTAATAATAATAGAGCCAGAAATAATATAGACATTTTGTTTTGTTGAATCTAATAGCAAATGAAATAAGACTAAAAATTTTGTAATACTTGTTTTAAAATGATAAGTTATAATAAATGATGTAAATATATATAAACCTTGTTATAAGTAAAACATGATTTATATGTCCCATAGAATATATCCTAAATTAAATTAATTAATTATTCTATAGACTTCATAATCTTCTAACAAATGAACACTTCTATTTCCATTAAATTATTTCTATAAGAATCAACAGAAAAATTAGAATAAAAAGAATAATTGGAGCATGCTGCAACAAAACCAGACAAAGTGAACATTGATATTATCAAAGATTTCAAGGATCAAAATTTAGTAATGTGATTATTAAAATCTTCCATTTGTTATCCTCTTAATATTAGGTGATATATAGAATTACCCTATATAAAAATAGTTAATATGAAGTTAATTTACATTAGATCTACCATGGAACCTAAGAATTATAGTACTATCAAAAGTATTTTGAAGAAAGAACAAGGTGAAAAATTGCACCTTATATTTTCAAAATAAATGATACTCGGGCATTTGAAACTTATCTAAGGAAAGAAAAGATTACTTATGAAATTTACCAAGAGGAAAGAAAAATAATAAACATTAAGAAAAGAAAACAGAATGGAGATATACTATTACCCAACAAAAAGCAGAAATCCTTAGAAGAAAAATAATCTTATTATTACAATATTGATTTTTTTTTTTTACTGAAGAAAATTCACCTTTATGCAAATGTAATTAATGATCATCTTATTGCATTGCTTATCAATTATTTGAGTTGTTTCAATGAATTCTATGTTTAGGGGTGTTTTATAAAACATCACCAATTCACTTAGCTTTTGGGTAAAAAAATCAAATAACAAATGTTTCAATAAATATTTTCATCCATAATAACATTTTAAAAAAGGCTTACTTTTAATAGTGAACTTTTTTGTGGATTGTTGATTGGACTCTTGCTTTGTTTTTTACTTCACTATAAAACTTACAAAAATTAACTCTCTATTATAAATCAAAAAAGTTGATCAAATAATTGATAAAATGGAACCAAGAAAAGTCAATTCAAAAATAAAATAAACCAACTTTACTGATGATAAAAAAATATTCACAAGTAATCAAAAATCTACAGAAAGATTAAGGATTTCTAACAATTATTTGACAAAAAGACTAAACTAAATCCAAATTTTTCATTCAGAAAATAGCTATTGAAATTCGTGAATTACTTTCAGGGGGAAAGGGTGTTGCTGCTTCCACAATAAAAAACTTCTACCAATGAAAAACAAATCCTAGAAGAAAAACAGATAGAAGCAATTCAACAGTGGGTTAACAAAGAAAGGAAGAAAGAGATGGAGAATGAAGTCAAAGAAGATAATAAAAACAATAAAGATATAAATATTAGTAATAATATTATTGATAATAGTAATAGCATTAGTAATAGTAAAAGTTGTATTCTTCCCCAAGAATGCAAAAATAAATATTTATACTGATAGTCAAACAACAATTAATACATATACATATCTTACACATAATGAAATGAAAAGTATAACAAAAAGAAATTTCCTAAAAATTAAAAACAATTCTTTTTGGGATGTCATCCTTTTAACAATCAATCGTTTTAATTTAAAGGTTAAATTAATTAAAGTAAAGCACATTCAGAAAAAAAATGGAATGAAAAGGCAGGTAAATTAGCTAAAATAGGAACAAACAAGTTTCCAATATCCATTAAATTTGATAATTTTAGTTATCAAAAGTATAAACTTATGTGGAACAATTTACCAGTAGATTATCACACAAGATCTTTTATTAAGAAAACAACTGATGCATTCAACTATCAAAATTGGAAAAATTTAAAAAGAAGCAAAAATTTTAATAATGAACAATATGAATCTATTGACTAGCAGAGTACTTTTGCTGCATTAAGGGGTCATATCAAAAAACTTTCCTTGTCTAACTTCCTTCAAATTAAACAATCAAAAAGCATTTAGAGTAAAAATCTTTCAAAATGAACTCCCAATCATGGAAAATCTAAAAAAAAGACAACCAGATTTATATTCTTCAAGACATATGTGTAAAAGATGTGAAAGATCTCCAGAAATATTATCACATCTTTGGAATTGTGAAGAAGTATATGACATCATTAAAATAATTAGTATCACAATCACTAACTATTTCAAAAAGAAATTAATTAAATATCTTTCTGAAATATGGTGTTCAATACTGTATAAAATATTTTAAAACAATCAAACAATTAGAAGATGTTAATTAACACATATATATAGAAATCATCAAAGATAAAAAATTTATCTTACCTGATAAAATATATACATGGGATAATAAAGGTTCACTTGATGATTTACTAAGTGGATATATAACTTTAGATTTAATACAGCAATTATATAAAATTACAAGATCTAACTCAAAAGCTAGAAAACTAATTTTCAAAATTAAATATAAAATTATGATGATTTGATCAAAGATATTGAAATCAAGCTTGATCAATCATCTGATGTTGCAAAAGGTTATAGTTTAAGATTAAAAAAGCTTTGCAATATTATTTTCAATTATTAAAAAAAGATCATTAAAAATTGAAGCAGCAGATTCAGTTTCAGAAATCTTAAATAAAGGATCATGGTTTTCAAAATGTATAAAAAGTTGGGGAAAATCATTTATAGAATGTGGTGATATTTCATATAAAAAAAGAGGTGAAAATTTAAGAGGAAGCATTATTGATGATGAGGATATTCAGATTAAAATATCATCTTTTTTAGGAAAAGAAAAATTTAATGTGACAGTTAATAATTTCAAAGAATTTATTGCTAAATATGTATTTCCTAGTATAAGGGTTGAAAATGAAATGACAATCAGGCGAGAAAACAAAACAATTATTTTTCACAAATTATTCCTAATTAACAAAATTTTTTAAAAGTTTATCAACAGCAAACAGATGGTTAAAGAAGATGGGATATATATATATGATAAATATAAAAAAGTCTTTATTTTGATGAACATGTAAGAAGTGATGTGGTTGAATATAGAAATAAATTTTTGGAGGAAGTGGAGTTGTGAGTTGTGAATTTATTATAATGATTATCATCTAAAAAAACATAGTTAATTAATACTTGATTTTTAATATAGATTTCAAAAATTAATGCCAATATTTTCAGGTGATAATCTTGATGTCCAAATCAATCCAGAATTAAATGAAGGAGAAAAACTTCATATGCTAGTAACAAATGATGAAAGCACATTTCAATCAAATGATGGATTGAAAGCTGGCTGGATGCCTGAAGGAGAACAACCACTGGAAAAAAAAGGACAAGGCAGATCAATCCATGTAAGTGAATTTATTACTAACACTATTGGAAGATTAAAACTAAATCAGCAGCAAATTGATGAATTTGGAGAGTCAATTCCTCATGAAGCAAGAGTGATGATGAATCCAGGAAAAAATTTTGATGGATGGTGGAATGTTGAAAAATTAATTGATCAAGTAAGTAATCTTTTCTATTTAATTTTATTAAATAGAAATAGAAAGTTAAAACCATTTTTATTATAGATAATTAATTGTGCTTTTGATAATTTTTCAAGTCATGCAAAAGTTGCAGACAATGCTTTAAATGTAAACAATATGAATTTGAATCCAGGTGGAAATGAAAAAAAACCTAAAATGTGAGATACAATCTTTGATGGAAAAATTCAAACAATGAATTTTCCTGATGGAAACCCAAAGGAATAAAGTTAATTTTAGAAGAGTGTGGATTATGGCCAAAAGAAGGGTTGAGATTAACTTGCAATAATAAGAATATTGAAGCAAACACAAGTTATCCAAATTGTTGTGCAAGACATAGATTAGGAGCACAACCAGATTTTATGGCTCAAGTACCTTTGATTCAAGAAATCATTGAAGCTCATGGTCACAAGGTGATATTTTATCCAAAATATCACTGTGAATTAAATTACATAGAGATGTATTGGGGTGCAGCCAAGAGGTTTGCAAGAGAAAATTGTAACTATACCTGGGCAGGTTTGTTGAAAACTGTTCCTTTGGCTTTGGACTCTGTTTCCTTATATTCAATTTGCAAATTTGAAAGGAAATCAGCTTGTTATATGGATTGTTATAGAAAAGGGTTGGATATGAAACAGGCTGAGTATGCTGTGAAAAGATATAAGTCTCACAGAAAAATACCAGATTCAATCTTGACAAAAATAAAATTTTAAAAATTTTTTTATTTTTGCCACACGTGATCTTCAGATCTACAAATGAAATTTGACCCCTCTATATAAAAGTGGATGTATTATTGTGACACACACTGTAAATAAAAAAAATTTTTTTTATGTGGGACAAAAAAGGGGTTAGTAATTTATTTTTGGAGTAAAAATCAGGGATTGTTTTGACAGAAAAATGGGGAGAAAATCAAAATCAGCTGATTCTCAAAACCCCCTTTTTTCCCGAGGTCCTTTTTGCTAACATGGAAACCAATTTGTTACACACAAATCTTGCCAATAGATTATTGGCCACCTTTAATGTAACACAATCCCGCACTCAATTTCCTAAATTAAGGTAATTTTTTCATTAAAAATCGTGTAACCTGTTTGATGAATTTCTGAAATAAATAAATAATGACAACGCTGTTTATTCCGCAATTAAAAGAATCAACATCATCAAAAACTACAATAGCAGAAACAGCAACAGACTCTTCTAAACTTTCACTTTCATATTTAAAAACATTAACAAATATTGAAGATATCCAAGAATGCTTAAGAATATTGGATTCTGAAGAAAATCAAGTTGATTTAAATTTAGATGAATTATTGGAAAAAAGGTTGCAATTAGAATCGGAATTAGATAATTTAGAAGTTTTAAGGTGACAAAAGTTAATTTGTTTTCATAGTGATTGATTTTGATATATATACACACACACATATAACTATAGCAAAATTTATTCAAAAGACCGCAATTAGGATTACTTAATTCTCAAGCTACTAATTTGATAAACATAATAAAAGAAACATCCAATGTAGCAGAAAGAATAAGTGCACAAGTTCGACAATTAGATTTAGAGCAATCAAGGGTACAAGAAGCAATAAATGAAGTTGAGATCGTACAAGAATTAAAACATTGTATAACAGGAATGCATCAATCAATGTATAGAAAAGATTATGAAACAGCAGCATCTTATGTCAATAAGGCTTTTTCAATAGACAAAAAAATATTAAATGGGAAATTTGCAGAAATGGCTGCGCCGTCATCAGAATATCCAGAAATACCAACTAAAACTTTAACAGATATTAGAGAGGCTTTATTTACTATCTTTTCAAGAGAATTTGATTTAGCCATACAATCAAAGGATGAAAAAAGTATTAGTAGGTTCTTTAGATTATTTCCTTTAATTGGTAAAGAAACTGAAGGTTTGGATAAATATTCAAAATTTGTTTGTGGAATCATTGCTGATAAAAGTCGAGCTAATCTTGCAGAAAGAGGTAATATTGATGATGATGATTATGATGATTATGATCATAGTGATAACAACAACAATAATTATTGTTGTTATTATGATTAAATAATAATCTTATTGTTATTAGTCACAGGACCAAACTTCTATGGGCATGCTCTAAATAAATTATTTGAAAATATTGCAATGATTATTGATCATCATCAACCTGTTGTAGAAAATCATTATGGATCTGGTAAAATGATAAGAGTTATTGAAAGACTTCAAGAAGAATGTGACAAACAAAGTATAATTATTATAAACAGTTTTAGTGATGAAAGAAATCTCGAAAGAAAGGTATCAATCAATAAATAAATAATGGTAATAATGAAAACAAATATTAAAATTAGTTCAATATTTTTTTTCTTATATTGATAATTTTTTTTAGGTAGTAGATGTTCGAACTTATAATAGTAGTGCATCTAAAAAATCTATTACTAATTCACAACATTCAGGCAAATCATCAAAAAACAATGAAACTAATCCTGACCCAAGAGAATTAGATTTAATATTATCAGAATTAGCAATGATTAGTGCAAGGTCATGTTTATATCTTAGGTTTATGGAATCTAGAGCACAGGTATTTAAAATAAATTATTGTTTTGTTATTGTTATTGTTTTATTATTTAATTTGAAATTAAATTTTACTTTTTTTTTTATTAGCTAGAAATTGAAGCAATGAAAAATATCGGAGTAGATGTTTCATTATTACAAAATAAGTATCAAATTGTCAATAACATTGTTTCTACAGATATAATAAAATCCAGCAGTCTGGCTAAACAATTGAAATCATTAATGAATGATTTTGTTATAATGGAAGAATATTTTTTTAGAAAAGCAATTGAAAAAGTAATAATTTTATTGCATGCACATGTATTTGAATGAAATGTTAACTCAAGTAACTAATTATTTAAATTTTTTGAAATTAGGCAATGTCTATTGATAATTACGAAGAAGTAAATAAAACATCAAGTTGTGTTGGAGATGTTTTCTATATATTAAAAGAATGTTTAAACAGAGCAATTTCAACATCTGATGTTGACTGTTTAACAACAATTGTTAATCAAATTATACAAAGTTTAGAAAATGATTATATTACTTTAATTCAAAGAAGGCTTTTTACTTCATTTGCTGCAACTGAATCAAAGGATGCAAAAATGGGATACATGGTTTGTAATTAATTAATTATCATCATCATCATTATAATTTAATTAAATATTTAATTAATTATTCCAAAAAAAAAGATTTTATTAAATAATTTAGATGTTAGTTGTGATTATATGCAAAGATTAACATCTGAATTAACTTCATTACCATCAATTGTTGAAGAAGATTATGAAAAAATTCAAAAAAGTTTTAATTGGTTGAGTGAATCAACACTTAATAAATTCACACAAATCTTACAAGTAATAATAATAATTCTCATTGTTTTTATTAAAGTAAAAATAAAGATTGTTTTAATAAATTAGCAATAAATATAAATTTAAATATAAATTTAGAGTGGATTAGAACAACTTTTTACTCAAATGATTAAACAAAAACTACGTCCAATATTACAAGAAGCATATAAAGACATCAAATATGTATTGAATGAAGATGAATATCATGAACAAGAAGCAAATGATGGCTTTGCTAAAAGATTTGTTATTGGATTTGATAATTTGATAAAAGTTTATCAGGTTTGATTATCATTACTCTTTTTTGATAAATTCAAAAAAAATAAATTTAATCAAAAATGTTTTTTAGACAACATTTACAGAAAATAATTACAATCAAATCATGATTCATATCATTGAATCTTTGACAAACATGTGGGAAAAAACTGTGTTTGGGACTAGATTTAATCAGGTAAATGATTAATTATATCAACCCATAATCAATTGAAAGACTCAGTATGGATCAATAATTAAATTATTGATTTGTTGTTTGGTTAATTTCTTTACTAGTTTGGGGCTTTAAGATTTGATAAAGATTTAAGATCAGTTACAAATTATTTTTTGTCAAAAATGCAATGGCCATTCAGAGACAGATTCACTAGACTAAATCAAATATCAATTTTATTAAATCTGGAAACTGTAAGCAAAATCTAATTAAGTCATTATTAGAAAAAAACTTTTTTTGTGCATTTTCTCATTCCTAATTTTTTTAAAAAAAAAGATTGATGAAATTCATGAATATTGGGGTGGTTCATCAAAATCATCATCAGATTTTATAACTTGGAGGTTAACTGTCATGGAGGTTAAAAGGATTGTTGGTTTAAGGTAAATTTATTATTAATAATTAGATTTGATATAAAAAAAATTACACACATTAATTTATAATTTATTTATTTTTTAGGGTTGATTTTAATGATGAAGAAATTTCAACATTAAAGTTATAGATTATATTTATTATAATAATATAGAGTTAATATTTAATTTAATAAGAAGCATGATTTTTATATTTGTTACCTGGAATTGCTACGGAATCTTGACGTTATTGTTATCAATGACATTTAATTATGCAACAAATAAATGTAAAATGGAAATAGGATAACCTTCATAGTAATTATACATACCAATTTTTTATATCAATCAGATATCACAAATTCAAATACTATTATCAATACAAAATAAAACTATGCCATTAAAGCTTTCTAATGAATCCTTCCTAATATTGAAAAAAGCCCTCTATGTAAAGCTATAGTTATTCAAAATATGCATTACATTTCAAAGCTCAACCCATGCGGACAATTTCCGAAAGGTTACACCTTTATCCCTTAGTTCGTAGGGATAGAGTCTCAGCCTGGGAAAACATATAAGAGGGATATTCCCCCCTTATCGATCTTATCGA